TCACTTTTATTGTCACATCGCATGTGCAGGCACACTGGCACAGCACATGCGAGTGAAATTCTTGTGTGCGAGCCCCACAAGCAACAGAAATGTGCAAACACAACAACACAAACCAGCAAATACAAGAATGAATATATATATATATATATATACACAATTCAAAGGATTGTATTTTAAAGTAACGGGCTTTAGTCACTATAGCAACAAAGCCTCCTTTTTCAATTACGTCACTACCGGAAAGATTCGTGACGCCAGGAAGAGAGCAGCGGTGTGTGAGGCTCCCGCTGAATGAAATTGAACGGTCAACTCAGTTCATTCATTCAACTTTATGAGGAAATTTGACAGTGTGTGCCAAGCATTACATGTTAGTTTGTGCTACCAGGTAAGAGTGAGCAGACCGCGGAGCTCAGTCAGTTAATGTTCGCGAGCTGGCTGTTAAACCCGGCGTGTTTACATCGTTGCTAGTCAGTGTTAGCAACCTTGTGCTATAAATATCAGCATCAGGGACAGTCACACAGTGTCTGAGCTGATTAGGTGGCATTTGGCCGTTGTGTCTTGAAATAGCCAGACGTACCATCACCTGCTTAACAATAGTAATGTCCCGTTTGGCTCTCTGTTTTATCACAAGCTGCTCTTGTTTGTTTTAAGTCGAGCTCCAGCCAGTTACATGGTGGCATCCTAACACCTTTCCTTTGAATTTGCCCGTCTCTCCCTTTCTGCAAGGTGTGCGCGTGCATGTTTGTTATTGTTGCTGGAAATATTTTGCTTAGGGTGCGCGTGCATACCTTGACTTCAGCTGCAGTCGTGTGTATGTGTGTGTGAAGAGCACCGAAGAGTCATGTCGGTGTCGGTTATCATTAAGTGGGGAGGTCAGGAATACTTCATCAGTTCTCTGTCTGAGGAAGACACGGTGTTGGACCTGAAACAGTCCATCAAGACCTTGACTGGGGTCCTGCCAGAGAGACAGAAACTCCTGGGACTCAAGGTCAAAGGTGAGATGATGTCAATGATAAGTACCTGATTTTTGAAGTATTCTGATTCTGATTTCTGCGCTAGTTAGTGTAAATAATGCTATATGAAGTCCAATCCAAGTGTGAGACCAAAGGACATTTCATCTTGTGCTTTTATTTAATTGTGCAGTCTACATAAAAGACCCTCCTGGATGCTAATCATATTTAAAATAATCACCCCTACATCTAGCCCCAGGTCTATGTGCAAAAGTTTCTGTTTTCTCCACCTATCTGCAGGCTATTGAGTATATAAGTTATTTTATTATATATATATATAATTTTATAAAAGTTATGCATGCTCTTAATATGATTTTCAGAATTTCTCTCTCTATATATTTTCTGTTCCTTTCCCTTTCATCTTGCCCGCAGGTAAACCAGCAGAGGATGAGATGAAGCTGGGCTCGTTGAAGTTGAAGCCTAATACCAAGATCATGATGATGGGTACCAGAGAGGAGAGTCTGGTAGGTGGATAGAGAAAATGAAAAAAAATATATCTGGCTGGAACTATTATAGAAGGACTGTGTGCCTGGCTAGTGTTCAGGTTTACTAGACAAGAGAGGTGAGGGGTAACTTGTAAATAATCTGTTTTGTCAGGATTTTGGAATCAGCTAGCTTTGATTAATGGATCAGAAAATGGTTGTTTAGGTGAAGATCTGACAGCTGTTGACATTTTTGAGGGATATATGCTATGGGTATAATGTACTGACTGATACAGTTTTAACCGTGCACATATTTTGTTTCGTGAAGGAAGACGTTTTAGCCCCTCCACCAGAGAATGATGATGTTGTCAATGATTTTGACATTGAGGAGGAGGTCATTGAAGTGGAGAACAGGTCTGTCTGAATTTTAGAAATTGTTGAAGGAAACCTGTCTTTGTGTGTGGATGCATTTGAGAAACAAATATTGTTTTATGTCTTCAGAGAGGAGAACCTGGCAAAAATAGCTAGAAGAGTCAAAGAGTACAAGGTAGAGGAACTAAACCCTCCTAGAGAAGGCAAGAGGCTCCTGGTTCTGGATGTGGACTACACACTGTTTGGTGAGTTGATATCATCATGTGTCTCTTTAATAAGATGCTTTGCAAGAAACAAAAGAGGAGGCTTTGCAGTTACTGTCTGTTTATCAGCTGCTTGTTTTACCATAGACACCCATACAATAATCCTGTGTGTGTTCAGATCACAAGTCATGTGCAGAAACAGGTCAGGAGCTGATGAGACCCTACCTTCACGAGTTCCTGACATCAGCCTATGAGGACTACGATATTGTAATTTGGTGTACGTATCTGTCCGTCTCTTTCCCTTGTCTGTGGCAGTGGTTCATTGCTTTTGTGTTAGAGTGTGGGGTTTTTGTATAAGTATGTCTGTCTAGTTAATTCCTGATGTTTTGGCCCAAATTGAGCATCTGATCCACCAAGAAGAACAAAAAAACCAACCAGAAAACAGACTGAGCTCGCCCATTTTTGTAATGGTGGTAAATACCCAATTAAATGTCCAGTATGTGTTTGGAGAACAGTGTCCTCTCACTGAGATGCCTCTTGTGCTTGGGTGTGTGTAGACGTTGTGTTTAATTGTTATTTTTCTTTCATGATTTAATTCATTACTAATTAACACGCATAATGTGTTTTCTCTTTTAAGCTGCTACAAGTATGAAATGGATTGATGCAAAAATGAAGGCAAGTACTTCTCTTATTTCTTTACCATTTCTTTTATTATCCTGTACATTTTGTTGCCAAAAGGTGGCAGTGTTAAGCAAGTTGGCATACATTATATGAGTGTAGATTGATCAGAAGATAACACCACTGTGTGTGTGTGTGTGTGTGTGTGTGTGTGTGTAGGAGCTGGGAGTGACAGACAACCCTAATTACAAGATTACGTTCATGCTGGACAGTGGGGCCATGATTACGGTACACACCCCAAAGAGAGGAGTTGTGGAGGTTGGTACACTTGCTGTTTAAAATATTGGCCTGTGTCACTGTTGTGGTCACACAATGCTTTGGACATATCTTTCACAGAAGAAGAAATGATTTATAATATATTTGGATTTATTTTAGGTTTAAGCGTTATTCATTCTGGCAGTTAATGGGTCATTGAACATAACACTGCAAGAAAATCAAATTTGTATCCAATCTGAGTGTCATTATCTAAAGCCATAATCTAATTTTTGTTCAGCATTATTTCTATAACTAAATCTGAGCATTGATATTATAGAATATATCATAGTTTCAGAGGAAACATCTCCAAGAATTTAATGTTTGTCATACTGAATAACAGAAACACGCATTAGTATTGGTAGTAGAGCTGGACGATAGAACGATAACGATATGTATCGCGATATAACTTTTACTCGATAGAGAAATTAAGCTATCGCGATAGACC